CACTGAGGAGCTTTGGACGTGCCCTCCGGAGAGGGAGGGCACATCCCAGGAGCCGGGCAGACCCCTGGGCTCTTGGGGGTGCCCACACGGGGACGGGGCTGGGATCCCCCCTACAGTCGGACATCCCGGGAGTTCCCTTCTCCCTTGCGGTGCAGGGCTCGGAGCCGGAGCACAGCTGGAAACGTCGCTCCTCACACCGCCTGCCTCCCTGCACTTCACATTCAAACGCCAAATCGGGAACGATCCGCATCCTCCCGTTAGCAGGATGCTGCCTGTGTCACACTGCCAGCCACAGCTAACACAGTTGCTCTAGGAAACGGTTTGGGAAAAGGTTTCTTTACAAGCCCTTGATTTCCTGAGATCACAACTCTGTCCTAATTCAGTTTATGAACTTACTCTGTAAGTGACAACCCTGCAGTATGATGACTTGATTCAAAAGACAACACATACTTGAAAGTATTTCCTGACAGAGAAACCTCCCTCAGGAAGCTATTCACACAATATGGGTGAGGAAGAGGCCTGAAAAATTAGTTAACCCTGCTTTGGGAAAGTTTGTCAATCAACATTACTGCTAAACACAGAGTCCATATTCTAGCTAACACACGCGTGCAAAAATCCCCAAAAAGTCAGAATTAAATATCTGACTCTGAGTGCAAAAATGCTTCCCTCATCAATCCTTGCAATAAGTCAGGATGCTTGGGAAATGAAGATCCCCACTAAGAGTAAAAATTCAGGTACTGTTTGCTTCACAGGAGGAAAAAAAATAGCCACTTTCAGGACATTTTTCCTCACTGTCACTAACTAGAAGAAAATCAACTGTTAAAGATAATATTTTGTAATTACTATACCTACATAAAACATCAACACATCAACATGATCAAACTCACTAAAAATCTTCTAGGAAGCCACTAAGTGGAAAGTCTCATAGACAAGAGGACTGAGTAAAAGTAAAGGTTATTTGCACATGTCAAAACACAGGGGACTTTAAAACTGCCAAATTGTCTTAAAATTTCTTGACAGCTTGCATATACCACTTAACACTAAGATTATCATAAAGCAACAACAGCAACAGTCAATGCAAATTACTTCAAATGCAAAGAATATAAATTTGGCAGTGCTCCTTATACAAACGGAAAGCCACAAAACTAGCAGAACTATTACTACGAACTCAAGTGACATCAGATCAAGATCCCCAATAGCTCATTTCCACGAGGAATATGAGAAGTATTTTGTAGCCATTGTACAACACTGTCAAAGGTTTTCCTTTACACTATGGGCGGGACACACCATCTTTAATTAAACTGTCTCCATTTATACAGTACTTAGGAAATTACGATATCATGACCCAAGTGATTAAGTGTGTTGATACCAGGAAAACATATCAGGAACACCTGATTTTTTTTTTTTTTAAATAATGTCTAATCGTATATGCTACAGCTAACTCTTCAAGGAAGTAATACAGAACAGGACAAAACACACATCTTTGAAGACCAGAAACTAAGGTCTAGCTCCTAAACGTACACACGTTTGTGCATTCAACTGTCATCTTCTATTGGCATTCAGTTAAGATGTCCAGGAACATCCTTACGGATAGATCCTTGGCACATGACTTAGGAATGTATTCTTACGATTTCAAATGTGTTATCACTACCATGAAGCACATCTTCTCTTTAAGATCACCATGTAAGATTTCTTTTCGTAGTTTGAGGACAGCGTATGATGTTGCTTTAATAATTAATTAATATAATCTAAGTATTTTTTTTAATGCCACACAGGAAATCCTACAGTAAGCTTCTTAAAGTAGCTATAAGTAGCTATTGTACTAAGCGAATTTTGTTTTGGAGGTTTTTTGCTTATGTTTTTGTACCGAGAGGTATGAGAGAGACAATGTTCATTAGCAGATCACCTGAACAGGTTCTTACCCCCTGAAGTTACGCTCTGAGCCACCGTTTCAGACACCACACAGCTTGCAAGGCTACCCAACTAGCAAACTTCCTTAAAAGAAAAATAATGAAGCTGAATCCTTTCAATGAAGCAACCATTCTCGCTACGGGGAAAATTTAAGGATGTTCACCACCTGCATCCAAGAGAACCATCCACACCCAGGGTTAAGAACCCATGTATGGAACAAGTAACAGGAAAATTGCTAAAAAAACAAGGAGACGGCACATATGACCTACCAGAACTGCATATAAAACGCTTCTCTTTACAGGTATCTCTCTAAGATTGCAGTATATTTTTGCATATTAAAATATAACACAAGTTCTGAGAAATACCAGAATTCCTGCGAGTTTGAGAATTCTCTAAAAACAAAGTATTTTTTTTGATCTTGACTGAAAGTTATTGTAAGCAGCAGTAAGATACAGAATCAATATTACTTTTTTTTTTTTTTTTCTCTCTTACACATATGATGATGAATAAGATATTTTTTCTTGGAGGCAACTACGGAAACCCCTGCAATGCAATGTCTTACGCAAAAATGAAAGTCAAAAAAGAGGAGGCACCTCTTTTTGGCACAGAACAGACAATAAAGAATAACCAGTACAAAAGATAGACAAAGACACAAGAGAGAGAAAAGTAAAAGCCAAAAGGGAGGTTTTCAATCAGTGTTTGTTCAGTTTCTAACCTGTCAAAGATCTCTGCTTATGACCAAAGCCTTGTGGTAAAGAAAATATTTAAATTATATAGGAAAGTTTTTGCTCTAGTGTGTATACTTTATTCCATTTACTTTAGATATGCATCTAATTAAGAGGAAAAGTAAATTAAACGATTAGACACATATAAGAAATAAAACCTCCCATTAAAGTCTTTATATCCCCTTCTTTCCCAGATAGGCTTTGGCAGTTCGGTAACTGACAGATCTGGTCAGATAAAAACAAAGAGTTTTAAATAACCTTGGGTTCTTTCTCTGGGTAATATAAAACACTGTATTTCTCAAATTGAGAACACCAAATTTGAGAAAGAAAGGAGCATACTTGAACTACATTGCACATACAACCTGCAATAATAAGTTCTTCAAATGATTAAAACGGAGTGTACAAGAAGATCAGATAAAGACTTCAGGAAAAAAAAAGAAAAACAGTCATAATTCTACCAGATAATCTGAGACTTCTGCCTGTTCAGCACTTTGAATCTCATTAAAAGACAGCAAGACAACCATCACCTGTCTGGGACACAGAACTACACTGTAACTTTTCTGGATGTGAGGTATTTTCCCCATCTCATCTAATTTTGCCTGCATAGTCCAGACCTGACGGATGTTGAGAATTTTTATAGAATTCTTTGAGAAACACTTATTTCAAAATCTGAGGAATAAAAGAAAAACTTAACAGACTTCAGCAGATGTTTCTGTCATGCTGAAAAAATACGGAGAGAATTTTCAGAAGTACTGAATATATTTTTTTAGTATAGATTATTCAAGGGTGAAACTGTGCCTAAAAATGGCATACATCAATCTAGATCTGTCTGTTTTAATGATCCTTGGCTCATTCCAGTTGTCAATATATTGGAATGTTAATAAAAGCTAGAATATCTTTTCTCGAAAGGGATTTATGAAAAGAAATGTCTTCAAGGGGGAAAGCATTAAAATAATGCAAAAGGGGAAAAATTCAGACACTTGACCGTATGCCCACTAGGGACCACGTGAAAGAAAAATGTTGAAAACCGAATTTCCACAAAGGGTATGTGTACAAAACATTCAATTAATACTCATAGGTACTTCATGCCCATCAGTTCTTTGACAAATTTAGCAAGGAAAAACAGATTCACCCTAAAGATACTGAGAAGTTTAAATTAAGACCAGAGCCTAATTCAGCAATAGGGACCGTCATCTACCCTGCTGATAAACAAGCTGCTATATGAGTGCCATACTTAGTCAGCTACACACTAAAAAGTTGGTACAACAAATGACAGCCAGTTTCAGCCAAAATCAACAACAAACTCACCTCAAGGCACTAGTACCATTAGTAAGGCAACTGATATAATCATAACCTGAATCAATGCATGAAAAGCAAGTCTTTTAGTAGGGAATAAAAACTGGAACACATTAATAACTGCAATATTTGTCTGAGCCTCGATCCGTTATGTTCTATTAGTCCACAGTTAGATATTTTAAATACCTTCTTTTAAATGCATATGCTGTAGCATATAAAACATTCCAAGTATTTCCTAACATTTTATAATATATATTAAGCATGTATTTGACCACGAAGAATGGGATAAACCATTTGAAAATACTAATCTGTAAACAAACAGCTAACACCATTTGATCACCAGAAACAGATATAAACCATTTTTAGGGAAGAGCAAAAGAATGCCTGAAGAAAGTCGTCCCGTTTCCCTAACAGAGATCAAGAATAAAGAAATCGGGGTGTACAGGAATCAAAGCAAGCAAATAACTAAAAGAGATGGCAAAGAACATTGCCGGATCATCTCGTTGCAAATGGCATTTTTTTTAGCTGCAAATATTTTTGACAACAATGTTATGCACTGCTTTTGCATTCCTTGTAATGAGTTTTCAGCCTTTTTCTTTTAAAGCATCAGGTTACACCACAATAAAAAGCCCAGCTCCTTTTGAACAAATATAGTCTTAAAAAGCATTAACAACCCTTGGAGGCACAAATGTATCAACTGTGACAGGAAATTTACATCATTACACAGCTTATGTGAGGCTTTTTATAAGAGGCCAGGCTTTCATGCAAAAAAAGAAAAAAAAAAAAAGAAGACTCCATTATTATACACCACTCCTCTAGATCTTTTCAAAACTTTGGCACACTCAAAAAGGCAGAAAAATAGAGAAAAGGGCTCCAAGAAAACATAATCGAAGGGCACTATAAGATAATGAGAAACCCTAACAAAAACCCTTTCCTGAACTGAAGAATAACAGTGGTGAGTAACCAGGGACAGAGACGGGATGCTGGTTGATTTTCCTTGAATGTTGTCATGTGCAACAGAGGTGGCCTGGATCGCAGGGCAGTTTTCTCTTTAAGGGCAAGGCTTCTCTACCTTGCTGTTGCTGGCTGGACATGACCGGGGTAGGATCTCCTGGTGCTCGTGGCTTGCCTTTGCCTAGCCAAGAAGGACTGTCCCGAGCCCGTGCTAGCCAGTCTGTCTTCTGCTGCTTTTTTATGAAGAGTCATCCCCTGTGAACAAAGGGAAACTTAGCAGAGAATGCCCACACATCCTACTGAACACACCACTCATTTACATGTTATTCTCTCTTCTTCAACACTGTCTTAATTTGAATTTCAAACACGAAACAGCATATATTTTAGAATGACAGGACTAAGATTTGCTTCCTGTTCCTTTTCAGTGTGTTCCTTCCTTCCAATCACTGTCCAGGTTCACAGCAGCAGTTGAGAAGAGGGACCCCAAAGTCTCCTATCTGAACACATGCATATGAGCACAGAGTACCTCCACTTCTGCTGTTTTCAGAACGACTTCTTTCAGCTTTTAAAAGTTTATTTTACTTGATGTTCATCTTGAGCATACAGGAATACACTCTTACATAGTGATTTATTTTTTAATTATTAAAAGCATTCTGGGCGTTTGTGTGTCAGATCATACATTAAAAAAAACAAACAAAAAGAAGACATAGATAAATGCAGATTGTGATGGACAACACAGAAACAATTAATATTAACACTTTTCATTTGTTTACAAGCTTGGAAATTCTTACCATATTGTACCAGGCACTAACGATAAGTTTCTCTTCCATTTCTTTTTGACTCTTTGTTTTTTCATATTCTTTCTAATAAAAAAAAGGCAAAGGAAACATATATTAAAAACAAAATATAGCAAGTATTAGAGAAGCACAGCCAATGCCTAAAAAATTGCTGAAAAGGCACAAGATATCTATTGAAAAGCATGCAGATTACCTCCAATGAATGAAACAATCTGTCCTGCTCCTGCAACTGATTTTTCAGAGCCTGAATCTCAGGAGCTGCACCTTGGTTTTGTTTAGGATCTAAGGTACGGATGACCTATGAGAGAAAATAAAAGGTTTTTTTTTAATCAAATAATGCAAAAATATCTAACTGAAGGAAAAGACATCAGGGAGTCGTAACCATGTAAGGCAGCTTAAGAAATACAAAAATGACTTTTGTGCCAGCGTTACAAAATGACATTCCAAAGTGTGAATCAGAGGGATGGACAGTTAAGAGGCTGATGGATGGAATACAGTCCCTCAGCCAAGATGATGGAGGCTTTGTCACTGAAAGCCAGTCAGGAAATGTTGAGTGCTCTCTCTTACAGGACAGCAATTTAATACAAAATCCCTAATAGGAAAATCTGACACCTAAGAGGCTCATAAGGCAGTTCCTACTCCATCTGCATTATCTTGGGATCGCAGCAGGGAATATTTCCTCAAAGGCCCTTCTTACAGCTAAGGATTATCTGCCTGTTTCCTGTCATTTTTTTCACTCAAGAGTTCTATCAAGACAAGGAGCCTCTTATGGTGCACACACAATTAACTATGCTACTAGGTAAGATGAAGCAATATCTGGTTACGCTCTCACATGATTATCTGTCGCAGGGAGCATTTAAATGCTAAGGAACACGGGGCTAAATCACAGACAAGTCCAGTAGAAGTCCTACATTCCTAAGTTTGTCCTAGAAAACAGTAGAAAACTTCCTAACAACTTGTGGACCTATGGAAAAAATTTTACATCTTTTGCCTTTCCACCTGTTCTGCAATGTGAAGGACCGCAGGCACTGATCCTTTACATGTTAGAAGGTTATTTTACTGGATAGTACTCATGGAGGATACCTCATAAGAAAGTGTACTATGTATCTGAGAAAATATGTATTAGACTTAAATGTAATTTGTATAGCAGAAGGCTATAATGATTCTTTACACCACCATGAAAATTAAAGGTGAAAACTAGATGAGAAGACCAAAAAAGGTAATCTAACTGAAGAACAATGCTCCTATTGTATAAGACACATTATCATAACACGCTACTTAAAAAATAGTAAGTGTTATTGAAAGGGGAAATCATATCTCTTTCTTCCATTAGAATGCTCAGAAACAGATATCAACACAAGGTATAATACAGAAAAGATTTGTTCAGATTTCAAAAAAGACCTTTCTCCAGAAGTCACTTAGAAAGCTATGTTTGAAACCACAATATTGCCATTAGAAAGATGGCTTTAATAGTAGCCTTCTTTTCTACAAAAGTATATATGAAGTAGCAGAGAAAAACGCTGCAAGTCAGCAGAGCTATCATAGGTGGCTGTGTAAGATTAAGGTTTTTATAAAAACAAACAAATAAAAGATGTATACACTGAGATGGTTTCTAAACTAAAACTTGAATAGAAACCAGGTCAAAAGAAGGAAAACAAATTCAAACTTAAATCAGTATAGATGACACCACCACACGACAACTACCTCTGTCTCTAAGATCTGAGGATTATGACTCACAAGAGTTTGGCAGAGCCCCAAAAAAACAACTCCTTCTGAGTTGGCATATACAGCTCTAATCCTCTGCTATAGATTTTTGAGGCTTACATGAAGCTCTTCAAGTTTTACAGGTGCCAGCTGATGACCAGGAGAGAGCATTAAGCACTCTCCAGTGCCGTGATAATCTGTTTGTTTGAGGAAATTCCTCCAATCGTGAGTCAATGAGTGATGTAGACCGTCTGAAGCAATGTCCTTACTAGGACTCATGGAATCGGAACAGCCAATATGGCTGTGCCATACCCCAGGATCAAAAATCATGTGTATACAGAAACAACAGAATGGGTTTTGAATAGGTAGCAAAAAGCATGATCACAAAAGACTAAAAGCATAAGGGCAGAAGAAATAATGAACATTAAAAATCATGAGGGTATGAAAAAATAAAGCAACTCACTAGGTCTTTTCTTTCTCTTGCTACTGTAAATATAGGTATCTCATTTCATTTTATTCCTGTGGAGTGATATGGTGCAGCCTGTCAGAGAAGGATCATTAACTCTGAAGAAA